GGATTTCCCCAACGTAACCGAATACCTTACCAGACTACGCATACCTAACAGAGGATATATATATATATATATATATATATTGAAGAAAAACGTTGGTGGAACCAACTGGCGGCGTGCCAAAAGACTTAACACCGTAATCAAAGAAAATCGAGAAGAAAAAGAAGAAAAAGAAAAAGACCAAAATCCAAACACCCCTACTCAGTAAAGTTCTCAGCGCCTATATATATATATATATATATATATATATATATATATGTGCGTGTGTGTATTTGCGTTTGGATATGCATCAGCCAAATAGGCGGTAACTGAATAAACAAAAGTTAATTCATCCATATATATGCAGTTGTGCATATCTATATATATTCACATATTTGTATTATGTGAACACACATGTGCAGAAATATATATATATATATATATATATATATATATATATATATGTGTGTGTGTGCGTGTGTCTGTGCACTGATGTACGTGCGCACACATCTGACATATGTGTTTACATCAAAATTACGAATTTTCACTTTTCCAGTCATCAATCAACGCCATTTTTAGACGGCAGTCGTCGAGCGACAATAGACTTATTTAATTTTTTTTTTTTAAATTAAAATATAAATGTTTACGTGTGGTTAATAAGGAAGCTGTTAATTTGATGAATTATGAACAATATTAAAACAAAATTACTTACTTTTCTTTCTTAAAAAACAGTGAAAAACAACTTTTTTGCGTAGGGAAGTCACATTTTCTTACGTAACCGTTGAAGTAGCAAGTAGCTTGTTGTTGGTGTAAGACAAACAGTAAGTGACGAAATATTACGATCATACGAATTTGCTCGGACAATCACACCGGTAAATGTTGTTACTAATGTTTATTATAAACAGAGCATTAATTTAAATACTTGTATAAAATAACGTATAAACAGAAATTATATTAAAATGGTTGTCGGACTTAATCCATTTCATAATGTACATTGTCATTTGTTTACGTTAAGATTCACTTCGAGCAGATATGATTGCTCGAGAAAGATCGTGGGTTAGTTGTTGCTTTAAAACATTAATTTGGATTTTGCTAACCAGATGTTTCCTCTATAGCTCAGTGGTATATCACGTCAGATCAAATGACGGTTCCGTGTATGAAACAGGTTCGATTCCTGTCGGAGAATGCATATTTTCTACGAAATTTCTTCAGACCGGTAAGTGTAACTAATACTGTTTATTATAAACAGAGCATTTACTTAAATAATTGTAAATAACGGAGAAACAGAATATATATATATATATATATATATATATATATATATATATATATATGGGGGGCCTATATCTATAAATACTTAATCTCTGATGTTGAGCATTACTATAATATAGCAAATTTTAAATTTGCACACACCCAGACTTTCCCACACACACTCACTCTCTCTCTCTCTCTCTCTCACACATACACACTCACACACACACATATATATAAGTGGACTTTTAGGTCAACATCTCGCGTCGACAGTCTGTCTCTTACTTAGACGCCATCTTCAGGGCTGAAGATGACGTTTAAGCATAAAGCAAATTGTCACTGTGGGTATTGACCTCAATGTCTACTTTTATATTTAAATCCGTTCTATCCCCTGATTAACCCATAAATATAGCACACCTTAAAACTATATTTTTATCATATATATATATATATATATATATATATATATATATATATATATATATATAAATGGGTGTAATATGTATATACAGTGTCTTCTAGTATTTCATGAAAGCCACTTTTTTTTAGATATATTCCCATTGACTGTATATTGTTAAATTTAATTCGACAAAATGTCCATTATCTTGAGGATGTTACTTCATTGTCCCCGTTTCAAAATGTTTACGTTTGAGAAATGACCATGTAAAAAGCCTTTCTGTCAATAATGTTTTGAGCAATGACCACAAAAGAAACATTGTTCAAATACTTCATGATCGTTAAGGGCACCTCGAGGTGGTGTAATGGTTAGTAAGCTTGTCTCGCTAGAACTATTACGACTGAGTAGTGAGTTCAATCCTCACTGGGTGCCCCATACTTTCGGCCTTGTGCCACATCTCAGCTACGCTTGGAAAATTACTACTTCATGATCGTTAAGCAAAATTAGAACTTGCTAAATTCCTTTCTTCATCATACAGCCAATAAATTTATTATATCCCCGCCTCTATATCAGTGCACGACCAGATAGAGTGAAAATATGCAGTTCTTGTATTTCCCCAAGACCAAAGAAAACCAATTGTGAATTATAACACGCTAAAGTCCATTAAAGAGTTATTTGAAGTCACTGGATCATCAAATGTGTCTAAAATATCAAAATGTCGGATGTAGAAGCATTTAAGAACGTGAACCAATTCAATTGTTCGCCCTTCTTTGAAGTGGAACCAGCACGTTAAACGTATAAACTGGCCCAAACAGTATACAGAATGGATTTCCAGAAACCGTTATTCACGGTCTAATATAAGCGACACTGGATGGCTCCGACATCTAGCGACATGGAAGGTATAAGGGAAGCCAAAAATTGGTATCCAAGATCTTACTTTTTAGACATCTGCGAGTTTGGAAAGTTTTTATGTTTTTGGTGGGAATAATCTGTAATCAGTTGGTTGGTTCCAAAATTGAAGTTTAGAAAGCAATTTTAAAAATAAAGTTTACGAAGTAATTTTATTTGTTAGCGAGGCCATTTCTCCTGAGGAATTTCTCAAATTAACTTTTTTTCTGTTGCGGATAGACAGTTTCAAGTTATTAGAGGCTAGGCAGTTTTTCTCTTCAGAATCTATCTTCTACTAGCAGCATGACACGGCGTTGCCCGTGCTTGATTCAAAAATCGTACGACTCATACAGCAATCGCTATCACTTGACTTAAAATATTTTTGACCTTCCTTGCCTCTAAAGGAGTGCCCTTTGCTGTGCTGATGTTGCTACATGCCTTACTTCTTGCCTATCAACACACAGTGAATTTTTTCTAAGCTCTACACTAAACATTAAATCTGTTACGAAAAAAGAACTAAACAAAATGAACACAAAACGATCAGCTTTAAAAAAGGACTCGTAACTGGAAAAAAACCGAATGAAAAAAGAATGTTAACAACAAATACTTTTTCACACCCAACCCAGTTCTGTGGAATCAGAATCAACGTTGAGTTTAAGCAAGCGAATGAACCAATTGGAGTAAAGTGCCATGCAGATTTAAATTTTTCCCACTTCTGTTGAATGCCGCTATCGAATTTTTTGCATGCTAGTTAACATTCGTGTCAGTCAGCTGTTGGCTCTCACCCTGGCCAATAGAGTCTTCGTGCCTATTCGTGGCAGCCAGCTATAGGCTCTCACTCTGGCATGAAAAAAACGATTATTTCCACTATCGATGGGAGTTGGGAAAAGCAAAGTCGGTCTTGGCCTTCCCGCTAACTTAGAGCATGTGCATGTAAATTTTGGTGCAAATTCGTCGAAAATTGCGACCGTGCATTCGTCACACACACACACACACACACACACACACACACACACACACACACACACACACACACACACACACACACATCCTGCCTTTTATAGATAGAGATATTTTTAAGTCTACCATTCGTCCATGAATTTCGGTTGAAATTTGAATATTGCTACCACATAGATCCGGTGATCCTGCTCTATATTTAGAGATTCTTGATAAAATCCAATGAAGAAATAGCAATATTATTGGTTCTGACCTGGCATCTCGGCTTAAGTCACTTTCCCACCGTTGTAATGTAGCTTCCCTGCGCATTTGTTATAAATAATTTCATGGTAACTTTTCAGATGAACTCTTCGCTCTGGAACCCAGACTTTAAACGCAGTACTAGATTGGCGGTAAGGTCTCATCAATTCATAGTTGAATTGGTTAGATTTAACCGTATTTTCTATGCTGCCGGTATCTTTTCTCGCACTTCTCACTTGTGGAAATCTCTTCTAGCCAACTCTGATCTTCAAAAATTTAAATGCAATGTCAATTTTTATCTACTGTCGTCTTTATTACACTTCTATTGTTCTCGCTCGTTAGTAATGTTTCTCTTTTTTCTTATTTTCTTATACTCAGTACAGAGGCGTAAATATATAAGTGGGCACTTGAGTCAACACCGATAGGCGACAGTCTATTTCCGGTTTGAATGCAATCTTCTGTTAATATGTCTGACGATTACATTCAAGCATGAAAGAGACTGCGACCACTCGTTTTTGACCAGAGTGTCTACTTACGTATGAGTGCAACTCTGTTTTTATGGTGATTTTATCAGCGTAGCTTAGATCTGGCACAAAACCGACAGTCGTTACCAAGAAATGCGTTTTCAGCCTTTTTATGAAAATGAGTTTTGGTTAACTCTGACGATTTATTCTGTAATATACAGAGCTGTGGCCAGTTTGATTAATTCTGATGGAACAACTTTCAAGTCACTTAATGTTAACGTTATTTGCAACGGCCAAACTGAATTTTTACGTGATTCTTTTTATACACATTTCAATATACGCTCTCTTATATATATATATATATATATTATACACACACACACACACACACGTATAAAATGGTAATCCGTATAGAATTTCCAGCAGGACATAGATCCAGGGAGAGCTCTATGTCAAAAGACAGAACAAAATTATCATTAATTAAAGAATATCAAACACTTAAAATCCCATAAAATCAGGATTTTGTTTGTAGGTCTTGAAGATTGAGAGCTGCTGTTTTTAGAGCTCTCACGAAATAAAAAATATTACCTATGGGTACTACTGCTACTACTACTACTACTAATATATTATTATTATTATTATTATTATTATTATTATTATTATTATTATTATTATTATCATCCCTCCGTTGCCTACTTTAGTTGGTAATATATTCTTAGTTTCAGTTGTTGATCAAAATATTTTCTTATCAACAGCTTTCTTGTTGTGATTTCGTTGTATTGTTTGAGTCTTTTCTTTTTGCCTCTATGGGTTCTCCATTATCTTTTATGGTGTTCTTTTTCTTCTTCCTTTTTCTTTCTTGCTCCCCTGATGTCTGCCTCCCCAAACTTCTTCCTCTCTCTCTCTCTCTCTCTCCCCTCTCTCTCCCTCTCTCTCTCTCTCTCTCTCCCACTCTCTCTCTCACTCTCTCTCTCCTCTCTCTCTCACTCTCTCTCTCTCACTCTCTCCTGATGTCTGCCTCCCCAAACTTCTTTCTCTCTCTCTCTCTCACTCTCTCTCCCCTCTCTCTCCTCTCTCTCTCTCACTCTCTCCTGATGTCTGCCTCCCCAAACTTCTCTCTCTCTCACTCTCTCCTGATGTCTGCCTCCCCAAACTTCTCTCTCTCTCACTCTCTCTCTCTCTCTCACTCTCTCACTCTCCCACTCTCTCTCTCACTCTCTCTCTCTCACTCTCTCCTGATGTCTGCCTCCCCAAACTTCTCTCTCTCACTCTCTCTTGATGTCTGCCTCCCCAAACTTCTCTCTCTCTCTCACTCTCTCCTGATGTCTGCCTCCCCAAACTTCTTCTCTCTCTCTCTCTCCACTCTCTCTCCTCTCTCTCCCCTCTCTCTCCTCTCTCTCCCTCTCTCTCTCCTCTCTCTCTCTCTCTCTCTCTCTCTCTCTCTCTCTCTCTCTCTCTCTCTCTCTCTCTCTCTCCTCTCTCCTGATGTCTGCCTCCCCAAACTTCTCTCTCTCCTCTCTCTTGATGTCTGCCTCCCCAAACTTCTCTCTCTCTCTCACTCTCTCCTGATGTCTGCCTCCCCAAACTTCTTCCTCTCTCTCTCTCTCACACTCTCTCACTCTCTCTCTCACACTCTCTCTCACTCTCTCTCCCACTCTCTCTCTCACTCTCTCTCTCTCACTCTCTCCTGATGTCTGCCTCCCTAACCTTCTCTCTCTCTCTTTCTTTCACTCTCTCCTGATGTCTGCCTCCCCAACATTCTCTCTCTCTTTCTTTCACTCTCTCCTGGTCTGCCTCCCCAACCTTCTTTCTTTCACTCTCTCGGTTTCTTTCTGTTCTGCTTTCATTCATTTATATAATATTTTTAGAATTTATTTAGCTCATCTGTCCTTTTGTAATTTCTTTTGATTTATTGTTTTTATTTTTTTATTTTCCTATCTTTAATTGTTCTTCTCTTTCTTAATATCGTTTCATTTCTTTCTTTCTTTCTTTTTTCATGCTCAAGTCATCTTTCTTTCTTTCTTTCTTTCTTTCTTTAAAAAAGCCTCATTTGTTTTCATTTTCGTCTTTTTGTTCAATTTTACCGTTATCTTTCTTTTTTGCTTTTCCTTTTCTTTATTTTCTCCTTTCTTTTTCTCTTTCCTTTCTTTTCCTTTTCTTTCTTCACTTTTTTTTTAGGGGGGGGCATGTTTTTTTCCCTTTCTTTTTTCTAAATCTTTGTTTTAATTGATTCCTATCTTGCCACCAGCCCCCTTCACACCATCTCGCATGTTATTGCCCATTAAGCCAGCTGGTCAATCTACTCATCCTTCATTCAATCTGCCCCCAGTATAGAATTATCCTCATTTATTTATAGCTCTCTCTCTCTCTCTCTCTCTCTCTCTCTTTTTATATATATATATATATATATATATATATATATATATATATATATATATAAAGATGGCAAGCACAGCTGTTTGGTTAATTTCAAGTCTTTTCGGTACCCGGCGGCATTTCCGTGCAAGAAGAAGAAAAAAGAAAGACAACGAAAGAAATGTTTTTCTCACTATAAGAAGTAAGTAATAGATAACGCTAATAAGAAATTATTAATGGGCCGATTAAAACGTTATTGCATTATGAAAGATTTATCTTCTGTAAAAACCGAGAAATTAAAAAAACGAAAAAAAGAAACAAGATTTCTCCATACCTGGGTATGCATTTAAACGAAAGAGCGCTGAAATGTTCTTGTCGATTTCTGTAAATCGGACGGAGGATTCTCTCAGTATTCCCTCGTAAATATCTAATATATAAAGCCTTAATTTTTGTAATTAGAAGTAACTAATTACAGGTTTGTGCGTCTGTATGTATGAGAAAATCTTATGCAATACTGGGATACAAAATCTTTCAAGAAAGCAAACTTGGCACAAGATCCGTTTCCAGATATGTCCGTGAGGTGGATATGGAAGTAGCAGCAAAATCTGTTCAATCTTGTTTAGGTTACCTCAGGCATCAGTGACTGACACTGAACCTCTTCCATTTAAGCGCAGCAAGAAAGGCATTGCCTGATGCCACTGAGCTTTAAAGATGAGCGAAGTAACCAGGCAAATAAATATGGTTTTATCAATATTTATCCTCAGATAAACTTGAACGGAATATGCCACAAAACGCCTACATAAAAGTAAAATTTGCTCAGTGGCCCCAGTATTTCCATTTTGAACCTGGCATTTCTCCTTTACAGTGTAGTTGCAGTTTGATAGCCCCTTGGAAAGACGCATAGCAATAATAAACACACTTAAGAATATTGGTTTATATGTGCAGGTCGTGTAGTGGATAATGGCTCGGGATTGTTAATCACAGAGCCGAGTTCCAATTCCATTTGGGTTCGTTATATTCACTTGCGAGCAAATAACCTTGGCAAAGGTATGAATCCATCTTTTCTTCCCCATCTATGGGTTAATTAGTAAGACTTGTATCACGAAATCCTTATTATCACAAACAAATTCTTACAGTCTAAAAATTTAAATAACCTGCAGAAAGTTTGATGTGCCGTAAAACCAAATCTATTTATTTTTCATTTTTTCACCTTTCTAATTTCGAAGCTGTTATCCTCCTTCATCAGTAGATATTGCCACAGATGCAATAATACGTGAAGTAAAATGGATATATACTAACGTGGACGATGTCATAATGAAGTCATTGCCAAAACTATTTCATCTACTGAGTGGCAAAATAGTGTATCAATGGGCTTCTATTACCACTCCTCATAGAATAAAATATCCACTGACTGAGCTTGATTTGGTGACAAAAATGTGACATTTTTGTCACGAATTAAATTATGAGCTTTTATTTTTGAATATCTGGGGCTCTCGAGTTAAATATGGTTGAAATTCGTGTCATCTTGCAACTTTATACTCCTAATGTATAAATAAATAAATATGTATATGTGAAAGAAAGTTGACAGTTATATATATATATATATATATATATATATATATATATATATATATATATATATATATATATATATTCTGTTGAGTTGTCTTTCAGACTCGACGAATTACTTAATTATAATTACCAAATCATCCTAATAATTTCTATCACTTGTATATCATTGTTTGAACCGGCTACTAATGCTCAAGTTTGAGCGGCTTGGTGATAGTAGTTGTGGCTCCTGGGGTCACAGTCCTATGGCTATAGAGAATCTCAGTTGAGTTCCCCCACGGAATATTTGAGCGAGCGTCGCTTTATTTAGTCTGATTTGCTACCTCTTCGTCACCGAGGCCCGTTGGAACAGTTGGTATGATGTTTGCTTGACAACCAAACTGTCAGGGTTTCAATTTTAGGTAGTGGATGCGCGCTGCTGATGCGTCCCAAATATAGGGCGAAACGGCCGTCCAGTGCTTTCTGCATTCTGTTGAGGTTTCTTTCAGACTCGATGAATTAAATAATTATATATATATATATATATATATATATTTCCTTATTAATATGTATACTATTATTAATTTTATATATATATATATATATTTATTAAAGACATTTTTATTTATGTTTAACGTTGTTATTTTATAGATACAAGGATTTAGGCGAATGCTCTGTTTATGAACGAATATTTTAAATAAAATCTCGACATTCGGCCTAAATGTTATTTATTTACTGAAAATATTCGTTCAGAGCATTTGCTTAAACAGTTGTATCTATAAAATAACAACGTTAAACATAAATAAAAATGTCTTTAATAAATAAATTGTCGGACCTTGTCCATTTCTTAACATATATATATATATATATATATATATATATATAGGGTGTTTCCTTAATAAGGATCAAAGTCAGCGGTAAATAAATCAGTGTTATTAGTGAAAATTTCTTTCTTTCTCGATTTGATCATGTTATTTAAGTCATGGCTATTGTGTGTGAAAAATAATATCGCTCAAATGTCCGCCAAGGCTTCGGTGGCATACCTCAATGTTCAAAATTTTTGATGACCTCTCTGCATAGTTCTTTTTTAATCTCAACAATATGCATTACTATCTCATCTTTCAATGTCAAATTGTTTTTGGCTTAGACCTTACTTTTGAGATGATCACAAAGGAAAAAAAAAACTAAAGCGTCAAGTCGTCCGGTCGTGGTGGCCAATTGATTTCATTGTTTCGTGAGATGATGCCACCTGGAACCTTTTCCTTCAAATTCTGTTTGAACGTCCATTTTTGTAAGAGACTTTGATAACTTTAACACGTCGTTTGATAGTTAATATTTGCATGGATAAAATTGTCAAAGACTTAAGTTGTTAAATCTGAAAGAAAAAGAAAATATATATGTGTGTGTGCGTGTGTGTGTCTGTGTGAGAGAGAGAGAGTGTGTGTAAAATGGTTGTCGGTAATGTTAATGTTAATAATGTTTATTATAAACAGAGCATTAAATTAAATACTTGTATTCATAAAAATAACGTATAACCAGAGATTATATTAAAATGGCTTTCGGACTTAATCTATTTCATAATGTACATTGTCATTTGTTTATGTTAAGATTCACTTCGAGCAGATATGATTGTTCGGGAAAGATCGTGGGAAATTTGTTGTTTAAAAACATTAATTTGGATTCTGCTAACCAGATGTTTCCTCTATAGCTGAGTGGTACATCACGTCAGATCAAATGACGGTTCCGTGTATGAAACAGGTTCGATTCCTGTCGGAGAACACATATTTTCTACGAAATTTCTTCAGACCGGTAAATGTAACTAATACTGTTTATTATAAACAGAGCATTTACTCAAATAATTGTATCTATGAAAATAACGGAGAAACAGAATATATATATATATATATATATGTGTGTGTGTGTGTGCGCGCGTGTTGATTTAATAGACAGGTTAATAAAAATTGAGGAATAAAAAAAATGATAAAAATATTGTCCATAAGACTGATTCTGTTTATTATATATTAGCAGGACTTTGGACTACAGCGAAGTACGAAGAGAAAGATTTTAATGTCGGAATTTTCGGACATGCTTGTATCCTTTTTTTTTTTTAGCGAGACGGGAAATAAACAATGAAAGGTGGGAATGTTGTTTTTGTTTAAATAACGATTTGGACCAAAAGTTTTCCATGTTTTGGGTTGTGGAAGGTTTGTAGAATGATCTCTGTGGAAAGAGTATTCTCTAAGTAAACCTAAATCCCTGTTTAATCCTTTCATATGGGATTCTATTTTGAAAATGTGTTTTAACTCCGATTTACGTCTTTCTTGTTGGCTCTTAAGTGAGGACGCTAAAATACGCATCTGATGTTATCAATGCAGTGATCTGGTTGGTTAAAGTGTGCAGGGACAGTGAAATTGTTTTTGTTCTCTTTGGTGGTTTTTTATTGTTATTCAACCGAAAATGGAATCCCGCGCTCGTCTCTCCCATATAATTTCCTTTTTTGCATAATAAATATATAAGATTTGAACTGTGACAAGTCAAAGACGGTGGTCTAAATACTGTGTAGGTATTGGGGTGTGTGAAAAGGCTATCAGGGATGAAATATTTACAGACTTGACACGCATGTGCACACACACACACACATATATATATATATATATATATATATGATAGTTGTTCATTGAGTGACAAGATGAAAAATCATCTTAGTAGCAGAAGGAATTATTTCCGCCAGCGGCCAGTATATATAATGAGAAGAATTATATTCCCTTCGTTAAATGTTTACAATCCT